AGAATCTCGTTACTGATTGTGGCACCGAATTTCTTAGTGATGTGTTTAAAGAAACATGTCGTCTACTGAAAATAAAAAAAACATCTACAACTCCCTATAGGCCGCAGAGCAATGGAAGTCTCGAGAGAAGTCACCGGACTTTAGGTGAGTATCTTCGACACTTCGTAGATAAAGATCAGCGAAACTGGGACACTTATGTTCCATTTGCTATGTTCACTTACAACTCAACAACTCATTCTGCCACGGGATACCAGCCCTACGAACTTTTATACGGTTATGAAGCCCAAGTCCCAACATCATTTACCCGAGAACCGGAACCACAGTATAATTATACAGACTATCAATTCGAATTAAAAAGAAACATGCAAGAAACTCATAATATTGCCAGAAAAAGATTATTAGAAAAGAAGCAGAAATCTAAAACCTCCTATGACCAAACTCAATTCCTTCCCACACTTCATATTGGTGATAAAGTTTTAATTCAGGAAAAGGCTAACAAAGGAAAACTGGCTCCTAAATGGTTAGGTCCTTTTGAAATATTAGACACAAACGCTGATTCAGTAAATATAGTTATTAACAAAAATGGCAAACGTCAAACACTCCACAAGAACATGGCTAAACTCTTTCATGAATAATAATTAACAAATAATCATTATTGTTTGTTACAGAATGGTTACTCACTTCTCTCAATATTATGCAGAAAACCTAAAAGCGTTCATAAATATCACTGAGTTCAATCAAACGTCCGGTCTGTATTACGAATCCTATGGTCCCCTCAGAATCTCCCAGAGTACCTGGCAACTTATTTCCTACCTGGATTTAAAGAACTACCAGCAACGTCATTCTTTAATCTTAGGTTATTACAATCAAACGGTGCGTCACTGTCGGGACGCATCAGAAAATTCAAAAGATATAAAAATAGCTACAGTCTGTACCCAATTTGTTCAAATTACATTACCTTATTTAAATGAAATAGAATTCAATCATATTACTCTTTCATCTATGTTAAATCTGAAGGGGAATAGCAGTTCTCTTTACTCCCGACAAAAGAGAGGTCTAGCAAATTTCGTTGGTAGAATAGCAAATGTTTTATTCGGTGTATGTTCCGATCAAGATGCTGAATATTTTTATAATAAAATCAGCGAACTTCAGGAAAATAAAGAAAAAATTCTACGACTATCCAAAGAACAAATACACATTATGAAATCCGTAGTTCATCACACATACAATTCCTCACTACATCTAGATCAAACACAACAAAATATGTCCCGAAATATACAGAAACTACTATCGCAAAGTCAAATGAATGCTGATAAAATCAATTTAGTAGAATTCATTTCTACTCTAGCTGAACATACAGCCACCATAACTCTACTACTTAGCCAATACAGTTGGGAAACTCAGAACCTCCTTGCTATAGTTAACTCAGCTCTAAGTGGTCGATTACATTCTAGTATCCTACCTCCTTATTAAATTAGNCAGCTCTAAGTGGTCGATTACATTCTAGTATCCTACCTCCTAATATCCTACTTAATGAATTGAAAGAAATCCGTCTTAGTTTACCATCAACCCTTGAACTCCCAGTTTCTATCTATTCTACAAGTCTAACTGATTTGTTCAAGATAACTACTATTGATGCATTATATATTAATTATACTTTGATTTTTAATTTAAAAATCCCTTTATTGTCTAATTTAGATTTTAATTTATTTCACCCCATATCCTTGCCTATACCACAAGGAAATCAAAATTTTATTTTTATTGTAACCGAATCTAAGTATTTAGCTTTAAGTAGAAATAATGATTATTATTTTTCTTTATCAGACCTTCAACTTTCAAATTGTTTTGATTTAAGTAATTTTAAATTGTGTAAGTACTCTAAAGCACTATATCGTCATTCCAAAACTAAAAATTGTGACGTAAATCTATATTTTAAACCTAATTATCCAATTGTCAATTGTAATCTTAAGTATCGTAAATTGTTCATTCCCATATATCATAAATTAGAAATTCAAAACTCTTGGTTATATGTGACTCCTATAGAAACTCATATGACATTCAAATGTAATAATGTACAGAACCTCTTTTCTATTAATACCATTGGTAAAATAACAGTGGATAAGTCTTGTACTGTGAGTACCGAAACTTCAGTATTATTACCATCTCAAAACATTATTTCTGTTTCTCCCAAGACTTTGTTTCCGAGAATCCTTTAGTTTACATGAATTCTAATATAACTAATAAAATTTCTAAATATCAGCCTGAACCGTTAACAGAAAATAATTTCATTCAAGATTTGAATCAATTAGCAGATGACTCAATAGATCTCAATAATCTTGAATCCACAATAGCAGAGTCTTCCGATCATTTCATCTTAAATACTCATATCCCATTTCTTTACTGTCTCTTTCTAATAATAGTAATTCTAACTTCATATGCATTGTGTAAATATAAAAATACCACCCGACAATATAAACCAGATATCGCACAATGTACAAATTGCAATGAAAGTATGGTCTGAAGTCTTGTTAATTTAATTATTTTATTGTAATTTAAGAGTATTATATGTAAGTAGTATTTCAAACACTACTTCCATTTAAGGGAGGGAGTGTTATGAATACTTAACTTAGTTTTAATATTGTCCCACAATTGTAATAACAGATAATCATAAATTGAATTGTAATTGAGGTCGGCCTAAAAGAATGTGTCTATAAAGTATTTTTCGGTGTTGCAAAACCGGGAAGTGGGCCGACTGCGACGATTGTAATGCAGAGCATCGTCAGTCATTTGACAATTATTGTATGAATACTATCACTTTTATTTTTAATAAACTAATTAATTATTCGGCAATACTATTTTATTTTATTCTATTTGTTACTCTCGTAACAGTGTATTTGTGGGTTCGAATTTAATACTCCGAGCTTAAATTTATAATATGTAACGTAGATTCATGTAAATTAAATAAAAATTGATGGACTCATTACATATAGCAAACCCTTGTAAGGTATTTTAAATTGAACAAAAAAATGTCTAAATATATCGATTTTAAAAATTGTTATTGTTCTGGAAATTTTTTCAATTTTTAAGGAAAATGTCTTTAACTAGATACGATTTGTGATTTTTTGACGTATCACTATAAATTGGTCTTTTGAAAGCTTAGAAAAAGTGGCAACAGACAAAAAAAAACATCATAGTAAAATTTATATCTTCTCTGCTTCGCATCAAAGCTAAAATTATTAATTATAATGAACTCCGAAAAAATTGAAATCAATAATTATTTATTTGAATTATATTAATTTCATGGACTAGAAGAAATATTTTAATTATTTCCCTAGATTATAATGGCCTTGGTTTGTATGTTTATGGTGCATTATTTCGGAAGAAAGAAGTTATTATTTATATCAGGCATTGGAATGGCTCTTAATCTATCTCTTATTAACATATTCAACATTTCAGAAGTAATTTGTGAATCACAATGGTTAATTTTGTATTTATTTTATATGCTGTTTTATTCAATCGGTTATGGACCAGTGTTTTGGATTATAATGCCCGAAATATGTCCTAGAGAAGTAAATAAATAATTTATTTAATAGCATTTATTTTCTACATTCCTTTTAAACTAGGAGACATTGTGTAAAGCAATCCAAGTGTCAAACAAGTTTTTTATGAAAAAAAAACTACTAACGTCGCATAATAAATAATTAGCAAGCTCTAACTTTTAGTACTTGCTTATACAATACAAATAGTACATTAAGCTAATTTAAGTTTATAGTGACTTCACAGGTCATTTTAACCATAAAATCTATTTTTTTAATTTTAAACTTTTCCCCTCCTTGATTCAAGTTATTACATATTATAAATATAATTGTGGTGAACGGTTTTTTAAATAAAAATTGAATACGACGTAAAATTTTTTTTTAAATAATATTATAACTTTGTTGATTAAAAATTCTAATGTCAGTATCCTGGAGATAAAAAGTCATTTAACGCTTACCCAGTGACATTAAAAAAAATAAAAGAGCTTGTTAATATCTAATGATAATATATACCAGAAAGTTGGCCAATATAATATGATAAATCAATTAATGTTTGATTAGATAATAGTAATTTTAATTAATTAATTTTTAACAAAATAAGTTAAAATATATGAGTCATCATTTGATTTCTTAACCATTTTTAATACGAAGTGGCCCAAACTTGATTTTATCTGGTAAAAATGATCAAAGTCTGACTTAGTTCAGACTATAAAAATCAAATTTGTTATCCCGACCCAATCCTAATCCGAAAAATATTACGGTTGGTTCTTACCCGATATCATTATTCTTTTAAAGCCCGATCATTTAGCAAAATTCTAGTCCAATCCAATCCAATCCTATTTCTGGTCGGATGTTAGCTGTCAGGTAAATAAATTTTAGAGTGTTTTAATGAACCATTTAATTTTAGAGTGTTTTTATTCTATAAATAAATTATACAATCACTGAAGTACGTATTAGTCCAGAGAACATAATCGCAAGTCTTTTGTTTTATCTTATGTTTACAATGATTCATAAATGTATGTAATGTATTTTATACTTATATTTATGTCTGTAAAAACTTATTTAACTATGTGCCAATAATAATACATTATTTAAATTTTTTTTTACGTACATCATGTCTAAATTTTAAGTGACTCGAAAAATATAGTCTATTAATTTTTTTTAAACTAATTCCTAGAGCTTAAAGACCCCGTTCATGCGGGTAAACTGACACAACCTTAACAAATCTATAAATATGGCTAAAAAATGTGTTAATTTATTTAAATAAATAGAAAATGTCAGTAAATAACACATGGGCTGAAAAGTCCCGGGCCTAACACATAGAGGGCGCTATTTTTTTGGAATTAATATCATTTTTAGTTGGTACTAACCTACAAAAGCCAGCTGTTAAACTTACATGACAATCTGTTCATTAGTGTGTGAGCTATTGTGCTAAAAGTGAAGCTACTTTTGTAAATGTCAAAAATGGATCAAAAACAATTTCGTGTATTAATTTTACATTGCTTCTTGATGGGAAAAAATACCGTTCAAGCAAAGAAATGGCTTGAGAAGTGTTATGGGAACTCTGCTCCATCAGATAGAACAATAAAACGTTGGTATTCTGAATTTAAACGTGGTCGTAGAGACACAGATGATGCAGAACGCAGTGAACGTCCAAATGAGGCAGTAACCCCAGAAAATATTGAAAAAATTCACAAAATTGTTTTGAATGATCGTAAAATGAAGTTGCGTGAGTTAGCTGACATCGTAAAGATATCAAAAGAACGTGTTGGTTTTATATTGCATGAGCATTTGTCCATGAGAAAGCTCTGTTCAAAGTGGGTGCCGCGTTTGCTCACTGTTGATTAAAAACAACAACGTGTTGATGATTCTAAGCAGTGTTTGGTCATGTTCAAACGTAATAAACCGGAATTTTTGCGTCGATACATCACTATGGATGAAACATGGATCCATCCCTTCACTCCTGAATCAAAACGATCGTCATCTGAGTGGACAGCAGCCGGGGAACCTCGTCCAAAGCGCCCGAAAGCACAACAGTCAGCTGGAAAGGTAATGGCCTCAGTATTTTGGGATAAGCAAGGTATAATATTCATCGACTACCTTGAGAAGGGAAATACCATTAACAGTCAATATTATATAGTGTTATTGGAGCGTTTAAAGGCCGAAATCACAAATAAACGACCGCATATGGCAAAAAAAAAATTTTTGTTTCATCAAGACAACGCACCGTGTCACAAATCAAAAAACACATTTGAAAAACTACGNACCGTGTCACAAATCAAAAAACACATTGGCAAAACTACGTGAATTAAAGATCGAATTGCTTCCTCATCCACCATATTCTCCAGATTTGGCTCCCAGCGATTACTGGCTATTTGCAGATTTAAAAAAAATGCTCGCCGGCAAGAAATTTCGCTCGAATGAAGAGGTTATCAGTGAAACTGATATTTTGAGGCAAAAGATAAATCATTCTACAAGAACGGCATTCAAATGTTAGAACGGCGCTGGAATGATTGTGTTGTTCTTGGTGGAGATTATGTTGATGAATAAAGTCAATTTTTAATAAAATAACCGTGTTTTCTTTGTTAGGCCCGGGACTTTTAATTTTTGAGTATTGTATCCAGTGCTGGCTCGTGGGTACTGGTGGTGGGGATACGACTTTAAATATAATACCACTAGTTGTAGATATCAAAAATTGTCAAATTAAAATCAAAATAAATCATAATACACATATTATTATTTTAAAGGTCGTAGTAGAAAATAGAAATGAAAATAATAATAATGGCGACTAGACTATTATAACAACCGATCACGACAAGCAGTTAATTCAAAAAATTAATTGCCCAATATATTAATATACTAACAGGTTACTGTATGGACAACGCTGCCGGTGGTCCAGACAATGCTCGCGTGTGTGTGTGTACTCGTATACACTGAAGGAAACAATTTAAATTTTCGTACACGACAAATGTATTATAACTATTTAAAATAATCATAATACATTTATATTAGCGCAATGCTTAAAATATACGTTTCTGCATATTGCTCAAACGACGCTGTCGATCGTACAAATTACTTGTGTGTACATGCGTAACCACATATACTTCCTGGTATCTTAAACATTTTCTGAAATATGATTAAAATTTACCTTAAAAATTTTTTATGATAAATAATTCAAATTTTATTACAAAATTTAAAAATTACGTGGAATATTCTCAAAAATAAGATAAATAATATTTATTTGTTCAAGTTATAATAGTTGGGAAATAAATTAGCTATGTTAACTAATCCCTATAGCATTGGTATTCTGTATATTAATATTAAAAATAACTTGTCTTAAAATAAAGATACAAATAGGATTTCATATATGTTGTTGGTATGCTATAATCTTGATTTTAAATACATTAAAAGATGAGCCATAAATATATTTACCACTCATCTTCTATTATATTTACCATAAAAAATTAAGAAAATTAGGAAAAACTAATCAATTTTTAATTGATTATTTGTTTGCTTATTTTAGTCAAGATTGTACACATCGGGTCTTGCAGTGAGCTTTTACTATTTAATCAACCTTATAGTAGCTCAACCTATTCAAGCCAATATACAATCTTATTTTTTAAGTTGTTATGGAGTTGATGTTGCATCTATAATATTTTCTATTGTAACAATACTTGGAGCAGTTTTTGCGTTAATTTGGGTACCAGAAACAAAAAATTTTATACTATTTTAAATAAAGTAAGTACGTATTAATAAGTTGCATTAGCTATTCAAAAAAATGTATAACGATAATATTAATTTTATAAGATATCATAGAAAATAGACATTCACTTTATAAGCTATTTTGAAAATTTTTACGCTTGAGCGGAAGAAGTGCTTTGAAGAAATTTTTCCTGATAAATACTCAGTACAGGCAAAAATCGGCATAGTACACCCAAAGAAAAACCTCAATCAATTTTGTTAGAGAAATTATATCAAGGATTTATAATTATGTTTTATTAATACAAACAAATTATTATTCTTATGAATAATTATTATTCATTAATAAATAAATAATTGATCTATTTTGGAGTCTTTGTCATAATGAAAATATGATACAGGTTTAATTATTGTTTTTAAAATATAAAATGTCTGATGTTATTTTTAAATTATTTTATAATATTCGTGTTTATCCCCCCTGTATGACCCTCTTTATACAAAATTTTAAACATGATTATTGAAACTAGGTCATTTTCAATTTAATTTTTAAAAGTCTTCCAGAAATACTGACACTTTTATATATATCTTAAATTAAAGCTTATGTATTATACTTTAATTTAAAAAAAAAATTTGACCTCTGGATTTTTCTTCATGGTAAAAATACTACCGTATTCAAAAATATATTATTTTTGTGTTAAAATTCTGGGTTATGTATTTTATTTTATTTTAAAATACCTAACAAGGGGAGTACAGATTTTTATTTATATAATATAAATAAAAAATTGATATAGTATAGAAAGTTAAATTTATATCAATTTTTTTGCTTTTTGAAGTCGAGAAAAAAAAATTTTGAAATTTAAACTAGCTTAAATAACTCATTATTTCAAATGAACTTGGCGATATACGGTTGCGCGAGTCGGTTAAACTTGTGTTTTACACGCTTGGAGTACAGGGTTCCAACCTGCGTATGGCAAGAAAATTTTTTGCATTTTTTCTTAATTCTTTTTAAGTTAGAATCAATTTTCAACTCGTTTGATTTTAATCTCATTTAGATTCAATAACTTCAATAAAAATCAAGGATCCCATCACTTTAGTCACCCCATGCGAGAAGAAATTTCTTATTCATATTAAAATTATTTTACTATATTTTAAATTTTAGCTTCGATGCAAATCTGAGAAGGTATTTTTTTGTGACTATCATTTATTTTCTCTGCTCTAACTTGACCTATATTTTTCAACGATACGTCAAATGATTACAATCAGCTGAAGATATTACCCTCAAAAATTGAAAAAAAATTCTAATTTATCAATTAAACAGTTACTTATCCCATTTTTTCCATACAGACAATTAAAATCATTCATTTCTAATGTTTTCAAAGTATTTATTGACGAATCAAGTTTGATATGATAATTTAATATGATAGGTTTCAACTACAAAATTAAATCATTTTACTTTGTAATTTAATAAATTTTTTAATCTATTTGTGTGTGCTACTACTAGAATATAATATTACAAATTTTTTGGTAACATGATGCTATATAAATCATTTCTAAAAAAAATGATTATTAGTTTCTCCTGAATTAACTATGAATTTTTACAATTATAATCAAATTTTATTATATGCTTGATTGAGCAAATCTTTTTAACAACTTTGTTTTGATTGGTTCATTTAGTTAAAGTAAATCATTAAAATTAATGAAGTTCTCAATATTTCAATTGTAGAATCTTTTCAAACACCAAAAGTTACTAGGAAATTATTACTATTACTTCTATTTAAGTTATCTATTATGATAAAAATGCAATAAAATATTGAGCTATTCTGATAAATTTACTATAAATAGTATTTATAAAACTTCCTAACTGCATATTAATCTTAACGATACAATTTTTTTAATTCTCATAAAATTTTCTATTTAATGATGTCAATTTGAAACTTGTAATTGAGCTAAAAGTTATGGCAAAATAAATTTTTTTTTTTTTATTATAAACATTCACAAAAATCAACTTTAAACGATTAAAAAAATAGGTTAAATATGTCATTTTTCTTATTTTTAACATATTAATAATCAAAATCAGTATTAATTTAAAACAATTTTTTTTTGTTCTTAATTATTTTTTTTTTATATGTAAATACTATTTTTTAATAATAACAAAACTTAGAAGTGATAGAAAAAGTCTAATTGCATAATTGAAACCATCGCGAAAAGTTGATTTAGAATATTATATTTTTGTTTCTGATGAAAGTTCCTTGTAGTACAGTGTATAAAACTTATAACTTTGTTAACTGTTATAACTTTATCATAAATGACCAAAACAGTATAAATTTTTTTTATTTAGATGCATGTCTTTACTTATCATTTGGTTTTTTTTTTTATAAATCTAACCCTTTACCTATCTACAAGAGGGATTCAAAATAATAACTTTTTTTTTTTTAGTTAAAATTAATTCAGTTCTGGATATTTCAATTGTAGAATCTTTTTAAATACTGAAAGTTACTTAGAAATGATTACTATGATTTCTATTAAGTGTTCTATTACAATAAAAATGCAAAAAAATAATTTTTATACACGTAAAAGTAAAGCAAAATGTAACTTCTTTATTATTTTTATAATTTCTCCGTATAAATTACAATATCAAATTATTGAATATCAATTTCATACTAAATTTAGGAGGCCGTATTTATGCGGAAAAAAAAATGGGCGGAACATGAATTATCCGGAAAAAATATCTCCGGAACGTATATTACTGGAACTGTATAATTACGGAAACTTTAAAATCCGGACTGTAAAATTCAGGATCGTAAAATCCCGGACCGTATAAATACGGAATACAAGATGCCTGACCGTAGATTACCGGTCTTCTAAAATTCGGAATGTAGAACGCCGGACCGTAGAAATCCGGAAAATATTGTTATAAGTGGTTCTCAATATGCTCTCTCGTTCTATATAGTTTTATTCCATGAATACCTACTGAAGCACGGATATTCGGAATGAATTTCCAGCATGACAAAATTATAATTAATTGTGTTTTAAAATTATTATTGTATAGTCCTACAAATTCAAGTTAGACATTTGTTTTTCATATATTCTATTAATGGAGAATTCTGTTCGATTTCGATCATTCTTAAGATAAAATATCAATTTTATATTATTAATATTCCTAAATCCAATAGTGATTGCAATAAGTGTTTATTTAATTTAATAAATTTATAAAAATCATAGTGTACATACAACATAGCTATTTGTAGCTATTTGAGCAGCTCGAAATCGCTGTACATTTTAAACCTACTTTATATTTGAAAACCTGAAATCTTTTTAATTTCAGTGTTAAGGAGTTTTTATTAAATATTATTATAAAATCAAAGTAACATAATTGACAAACATATTTTAGATTTTATTCTTAAAAAAAAAAAGTACAAATAATGAAAATAATTTACATCCCGGTGTGGAAAAATGAGTTAATGTGACGAAACGTAAAAGGCTCGGGGCAACTTGCGATATTGAAGTAAAAGTTTGTTAATTTCTTAGGGACGTTATTTAAATGCCAAACGCTCGGTTACAGATACAATATAATATTTATGTATATTACAAATACAACTTTAAATAGAAGTTAATCCAATACTATTAGAGTACTTTAATATATACAGTCATATACACATATTAATTTATAATACAGTGGTTTCTATATAAACTTCCTTCATTTTTAAATTAATTTGATGCAAAGTGATCGGAATTTTGTTCTAAACAGCATACAAAAAATATTGGTGAATTTTATTGTCAACCCCTTCACGTACGTCAAAGGGATTAAAAATTGACAAAAAAATGTAGAAATCTATTTTTTTTATATATATCCTACTAATTATTATAAATAGAAAAAATTCCTCAGAATTAAAAATGCAGTTAACTATAATGAAAAGAAAGAGGTCTTTACAAATTTGTTGTAACATTGATTTATCAACGTCTAACTAATAAATTCTGTTTAATTTTATTTTTCGCGAAGACTTTTTTGGTCTTTAATGTTTATCTCTATAATTATTGTGTCATACGTCGGTAGTACCCCGACGCAGACACAAAAAGGAATACGCAAATTAATTAATATTTTTTATCGACAAATTCGACGTTTTTAGCTCCTCCCGTTGGATACACTGGTCAGCCCCAATCCTTCCAATTAGTGAACTACTTAAGGGATAGAGTTTAGACCCGTTAGCATGGTATAGCTCAAATGTAGTAGACTGAAGGGTGGCTCCTCGGCAACCACCAGCACAACTACCTTTTTACTATACCTACTAAAGGACGGTTAAGTCCAAAAACTAACCAGCACGCACACTAATTATTAAGATCGGTTAGAGGACCAGTAGTCCAACCTCGACTCTTGCCGCACACGCACAATTTTTAATAGCACGACGGATATAAAGTATTTACTCTCAATGTACAGGTTTTTAAAATTAATTAAGTCGTACAAAACACAAAGTTACTCGCACACGAACGTCCTGACCCGTAGCTTGACGTTTCTTCGTCAAAAAGTCCAGTTTCCCTTACTTTTCATGTTTCCCTTTATATATTCTGTTTTCCACCATTATTAATTCACTTACCTTGCATTCCCCTTTTATATGACGTTATTATATTGCTTAAGAATTTAAAAATTGCTTACTACTGTTGCAAAACTTATATTATACTAAAATCGACGTTATTTAATACTTCCTCCGCTATTTAGTACAATAGAATCTAAGAAAATATTTTCAAAAAAATATGTATAAAAAAAAGTTAATAACATAACTTTTCGTAGTATTAAAATTTCATTGTAAAAATCGAAAAAATATAAATGTATCAATATATTTTGTTAAAAACTATAATTATCCTAATTCAATCAAGCAATTCTCATTTAACTATATCTGCTTTGTCAATATTGAAAGAATATCTTGTTTATTTTGCATTCATTACTCTAAATGGCATTATTTATTGGAAATTATTTTTATAAAACCTATAGCCTTTAAAAATTGTAACTATAGTTAAAATAAGGACCACCCTTATATATATACAAAAAATAATAACATTTTGAATATTTTTAACTTTATTTAATTAAAATTTTAATATTAACCATTAAAATTAATATAAAATTAAACATAAATTGAATTTTCCATACAATTTTCAAATGTTTAATCATTCAAAAATAAGAAAAAGAGTAATTTCATTTTCAAAAATATAACCACCAAACGAATTAAAAACATTAAAATTAAGTTGTGTAATACATAAAACAATCAATCGCCTTAATATTAAACATTTATTACAATTTTAAATTAATAATTTATTAAAAAAAAAACATTAGTAGAAAAAATTAATTTTCTAATTAAAACACAAAATTATATATTACAATCTTTTTTTATCAAAATTATTAAATTATTATTAAATTAATTTTAATTACAAAATAGATACACTTCACATTAAATTTATTTTTAATATTTACATTGATTCATGAAAAATATATTCTCTGAAACTGTTCTATTTCAGCTCTACAAATTGGACATGTTTTAGGATATTGTGTATCCAAAACTGCCACACAGGATTCACATATCCAAGCATGACCACAAGGTATAGCGATATATTGAGAGACATTGTCTCCAGCCTCAATTATTGTACAAGTTATACAAAAAGATCCATTAGACCTTATATTTGGGTTTATAATGTCGAAATTATTGTTAGTTTGCGGGGAGGGTACATCAATTTCATTGTCCTCAGGCGTTGCTCTGTATTCAATACCCAAAGCCCAATGTCTTTGTCTTCTCTCATAACTCGAGCATGAATGAGAACATTTATTTAAAAATTGCCAAATCGATAATAATCCAGCACTCTTTTGTTCTGTTGCTCTTTTTATACATTTTGAATTCATTAGGTATACCGATTTGAGGTTTCTGGTGGGTTGTAGAGCATTAGCTAGTTGATTTAAAACTATATGGTATTTAGTATTTAATTCAGTTATGTGACCTATATTATAGAAATCTTAAATTAATTCCATTATATGAGTAAATTGAATATGTATTTTATCATTACATTATTTTAGTTTGTATTTAATATTTAACTCATCTAAACAATTATTTAGACTGATAAAATTAATTGACAAAAACTGAGTGACAAGTTTTTACAAATAATTATTGATTAGTATAAATAATCATACCTAAGAAAACCCATAAATTTGGATGATTAACTGAAAACTTATATTTCATTGAATTATGGAAGCTTTCTAAATTATTATTGGTTCTTCTTGGTAAATTGTGGACTGATAGAATGTTTGTCCCTACCTGATTAATCCAGTATCTAAATTAAAAAAAGGTAATAATTTAAGACATTTAATGAGTAAAATTTATATTTATCATTAACTTAGTGAGAAGTGTAGACAAACAAATTGGATTTAAAGAAATTCTTATTTAATTATTAATTAGTCATGGATAAAATATTATTTTAATTAATTATATTACACATTGATTGTTATCTGTGAACGCTTCAGTCCTAAAAATTTCTTTAAATTACAAATTTTAAATTAATTTTTAAACCTGAATTTTTAACAGTAAATAACTAGTTTAAGTAGGGGTTAGCGGGCAAGTTTAGACCTGGAGCAAGATGATCTTCTTGGATTACAAAAAATATAGTAATGTTTCAGACATTATTTTAGAAATATTTTTAAATATATTAACCAAAAAATGACAAGTGATCAAAAATAATTTAAATGAACACAAATAATTGTTTTAAATCACATTTTTACTACTTAGCAAGAATGGTATAATGTTGTTGTTTACAATGAAAAGGTTTTAATTTGAGCAAGAATAAATAAATGAAAGTTTTTTATATTTTAAAAGCTAAGGAAAACTCTGCAAAGAGTATTTGAAATTATGAGTCTTATTCAAATTAGGATGATTTTTTAATAAAAATGAAATGGGAAAAGTTGGTTTTTATGTTATTTGTATATACAATTTCTGTATATAAATTAATTTGCTTATAATAAACATTTCTGTTAGTCACCTGTTGTAATAATTGAACAGTTCAGCCATTGGTGTGTTGTGGCATACAGCATATGCTTTTACTAGCTGAAATCCTAGTACAATTTCGTTATGTTGCAAAAGTGGCAAACACATAAGCATTTTTAAAGTTTTTAATGCATGATTGTTGGCATTAACCAAATGAAGGAATCCCAAAGCTTTCATTTTTTTCCAGATAGCCTATATAAATAACATAGAATGAAGTATAAATTTCATCTCTTTATTTTTATTTATTTGATATTAGTTATAAATTTTATTTTAACTAGCCTGGTTATAATGAAACCAGCAACCAACTACTCTGGTTTGTGAACCACCAAATGAATTGGTAAGAGAATCCCTTAGTGCTGTTTCAAAATCTGTCATTATAACTTCAGGTTGTAGACTAGGAAACATATTTTGTTTCATAAAATTGAAAACACAAAGATATGCATTTCTAGTTTTTGCTTCCATCAAAGAATATGCTACGGGTATAGATTAAAATCAATTATTAATTATATTAGCGATGAACTTTCATTTTACCAATCAAAAAAGTATATGTTATAAGTATAAGTATTCATGAATACATATTTTGTTAATTATTATATATCAGTTTTGATATTCAAAAGAAAAAAAAATTTGTGGGTTTTTATTAATTTTTTAAATTATATAATTAATAACAACTTTCTTGAGTCAATATAATTTGTATAAATCAATAAAATATTCTTTTTTAGAAGTGAAGATCAAAATTTAACATTTCAAATTTTTAAAAATCTAAATTAACTGTAGCACTTATCATGAATTTTATTAATACTTGAACTTATAATTTCTTATTTAATTTTATATTTCATAATTTTCAAAGATAATTCATTAAAAACTATATTATTAATTTTATTTTTATTCATTTGTTATCCAACATATGATTGAACTATTTTATGCGTGTAATTCATCATAATAAATCAATACAGTATATTATAATTTTTAAATGTCAACATCTCTAGAAGTAATTAAAAAAATTTGGTAACTGACAAGACAATTATTTATTTCACCTCAATCTAGTGGTATAAATAATTATTTATTAATTCAAATCATTATAATTATTGAAACTTAAATCTAATTGTTAATATAATTATTACTACTAAAATAGGATTTAAAATTGTGAAATATTTACTAAAAGCATTAGTATAAGAATATGATCTGAATGAAGATGAACCAAAATACTCATTAAGATAATTTTGGAAAAAAGTATTATTTGTTAAAACATGATAAAGTACTACATAAAGTTTTTATTATACAAGCTTCTTATTTTAAAATATAGTTTGTATAACTACATTATCCCGGTAATGTTCATTCATTAAAACTAAAACCATTTTTTCAAATATACCTCGTAGTTTTAATTTTAAATCAATCTTGAATTTTTAATTTATCTCTTTAGAAATGATTTATCATTTTGCTTACATAATTGTCAATCATACAGTGAAGTGTCAAAAGTTGTTGTCCTGTATTATTCGGCACAACTTTAAAAGTAGCATCCACATGCATTTCTGTAATACCGTTTGCTAAAACGTGCTCAATTAAATTATTACACCCAAATATTATGCTGGACTTTCCTAAAAAAAAAAAAAAAAAAATGAAAAACTGACAAAACTGACAAAACTAGAGTAACTATTTCAAGTATAAATAAGAAGAGTTTACCATCATTATCAGTTACACATCCCTTAAAAATGGAACTATTACAACAAGTATACCTTGGTAAATCATTATTTTCAAATTTTATAGATAGTTCGTTTAAATTTTGTGGTAATGTAGGAAATGATGATCTACGAGCTAAGCGCATCATGCTTTCTGCTGTTGGCCAAGTATATAAACTAGCAGCTGTAGTATGTCTGAAATAATTAACATTTTACATGTTATACCTGCATGTTATTTTTTAATATAACAATTTATGATTACAAATACTTTATAATTTAATTACCGTAACATTTCCTCATCATAAATTGTTCTTAATGGTAAATTTTCAGATTTTGACCGCGATTTCAAAATATTTTTAAAAGACTTTATCATAATTTCATTATTATTATTATTTAATATGTGTATATTCGAGTGTGGCTTAAGTTCAGTCACAACATTATTAAAACTTTTTTTTGCTGTACCATTGCAAAAATATATTGCTGAACCCGCACATTTGTAATATCTATAGAATAAAAAATAATGTTCGGTTCATTACTAAATATCAAGTAAATATGTATCTGAGGAAATTTAGGGTAAAATGGACTGCATTATTATTGCTACTATTGAACTATATTTATAGTGAAAGCAAAGGGGAGGAAAGAGTTGAAACCCCACAAGAAAACTTTTTCAACAATTGTTTTCTAATCTCTCCTATTGTTAAGAACTTTATTTTAGGTATTACTATGTTTCCTAAATTTAATTTAATTTTAAATTTTTCAGTTAATTTTTTATGCGTTTTTTGGTGTACTATTTTTTGTCACTATTTTTTACTTGATATTATGATAGAAAAAAAAGTTACAAACAATTTTGTTCTTATAATTTTTTTTATCCGAACAAACGTTTACGTTTTATAATTGTTTAAAGATTTTGACTATCTGAAAAAATATTGTCATTTATAACGTTTCATAATATCGGTAGCAGTGCAACCGGTATTTTTGTTAGATCCTTTAGTCTTACAAATCCATAGACTTTGCTATTAATAATACACCGAAAACCCGATTTGAATCTATTATTATCACTCATTTAACGCTTAGTAAATTTTTATAGCTAATTTACCTGTCANAAAACCCGATTTGAATCTATTATTATCACTCATTTAACGCTTAGTAAATTTTTATAGCTAATTTACCTGTCAAACTTGATCAATAAAATTTGGTTTATGCTACAGTAAATAAAAATAATGACTTCTGTATTTAATACACTAAAATAACAATAGAAATTTGGCCTAAAATCACTTAACTTTAACAAGCTGTAACGGACAAACGGTTAATCGGATAAAAAAAATTATAAGAACAAAATTGTTTGTAATTTTTTTTTTCTATCATACTGTAAAGTTAAAAGTAAGGGTTCCCATTTAAGAAAATTATAAATATGGGTTTTTATCCTTGAAAGGACGAAAAAATAATGGTTTGACTTGATATTATTGTAGGGTTTTTGAACTTAATATTTTTCCTCTATAATAAAATGTTAAATTCTCAATAGTTTCTGAGAAAATGAGTGCCATTACAGATTTCGATTACGTATATATATACGTTAAGGTAAAATTTGAAATATTTAAAAGATCGAACTATCTGTAAAATCAATACATTTTTCTTAAGAGTCAGTAGACCTCGGTACATCCCTCTATCAAATATATTTGCATACTTACGTGTAACCATTTTTCTTTCCATTATTCGTATATCTGAATCCATTATGAAACATTTTTGTATTAAAAAAAACTAAATGAACTTATAAAAATTTCAATCAAACAAATAAAATGATGCGAGCATATGCACACTAGGACACCGTAGGTGCAATGTAGTCAAAACAAAAGAATATTCGTCTTCTCGAAAGAGTGAAGTAAGGTGAAGATGAAGAAGGGGTTTAAAGTGCGATAAGGAGATATTGAATTTATAGTTAAATAAAATATTAACTATTAATAGTTTACTAAATAAAAAATTGGTCTATACATTTTATTAATACATCTGTAATTAGTAATCCTTTAATTTTAAATGTTGTTGTTGGTCATCAAACTTTGTAGTAAACCCTACTAAAAAATTACGGATTTTCATAAGTCTATAAAATAGATGTGTAAACATTATAATGTTATTGTGCTATAATATGTATACACATTTATGTGATTATTCATTACATATATTTAAAAAATACAAAATAAATTGTCATGCGTAATACTCACGTCTAATTTTTTAAGAATACTAGAAAAGCGGCAACATACTCTACTCTTTGTATCATATCTAATCATGATTCCCCTCATAAAGTCAAGATACCTTAGAAGGATTTTTCGGATCATATAAATAATATTTATAAATATATTAATTAATATATCCTAATATAATATAATATCTTTGGACATTACATCCCTAGAATTATCATAAGATACTTAAACAGAATATGGATTCATTTTAAATATATATAAATAGTTTTAATCTCATAAATGTTTTATGGTGCCTGGAAATATTTATTTTTCCTAAAGCTGAAAAAAGATTACAAATCATAATCCTATATTGTATTTANAAAAACTAAATGAACTTATAAAAATTTCAATCAAACAAATAAAATGATGCGAGCATATGCACACTAGGACACCGTAGGTGCAATGTAGTCAAAACAAAAGAATATTCGTCTTCTCGAAAGAGTGAAGTAAGGTGAAGATGAAGAAGGGGTTTAAAGTGCGATAAGGAGATATTGAATTTATAGTTAAATAAAATATTAACTATTAATAGTTTACTAAATAAAAAATTGGTCTATACATTTTATTAATATATCTGTAATTAGTAATCCTTTAATTTAAAATGTTGTTGTTGGTCATCAAACTTTGTAGTAAACCCTACTAAAAAATTACGGATTTTCATAAGTCTATAAAATAGATGTGTAAACATTATAATGTTATTGTGCTATAATATGTATACACATTTATGTGATTATTCATTACATATATTTAAAAAATACAAAATAAATTGTCATGCGTAATACTCACGTCTAATTTTTTAAGAATACTAGAAAAGCGGCAACATACTCTACTCTTTGTATCATATCTAATCATGATTCCCCTCATAAAGTCAAGATACCTTAGAAGGATTTTTCGGATCATATAAATAATATTTATAAATATATTAATTAATATATCCTAATATAATATAATATCTTTGGACATTACATCCCTAGAATTATCATAAGATACTTAAACAGAATATGGATTCATTTTAAATATATATAAATAGTTTTAATCTCATAAATGTTTTATGGTGCCTGGAAATATTTATTTTTCCTAAAGCTGAAAAAAGATTACAAATCATAATCCTATATTGTATTTAACTAGAGGCAAGATTAAATAACAGCACAATTTTATTTATATTTATTTATTTAAAATATGTAATGCACAAATGGTCACTTTCATAAGTAACACAAACAAGTAATAAACTACATTTGAATAAAATTAAAATTTTCAATTGATTAAAAAAAAATTGTTGGCTGCTAAAGGTATATAAAAATGAAAACATACAGAATGTACTTTTAAATTAAATAACTAAAAATCATTAATTTAAATGAATTTTAACCTGGTTCAATAAGTTGTAAGAAAAATAACCTCATTACTGATAGCCATGGATTTTAATAACATACGGTTATTTGGCCCGCAACTCATATTGCTCTTCA